AATTGGATACCGCGAACATGTGGGTTTGGGGTAACGAGGCTTGCTGAATTTCTCTTACTGAGCTGTGTTGAAATCGACTGTCATTTTCAATGACAGTGTTATCATTCAATTTCATTCGCGCTCTCCCATATTGACAGAGCATTGAAGTTCTTACTTCAATGCTGTAATTCCGGCGAGAAATTTGGGCTATTGCCACTTAGAAACTTTTTTCTGCGTAGGCGTTGAGCCTGATGAACGAAGTGCTACTGCACGACGTAGCCTCTCACTAGGAAGCCAGAGGAGGCCAGCGTTGCCACATTCGTTGAGGAGACGAGTTCAGGAAACTATAAGAGAGGAAACCCAAGAACCATCAACTGCTAGTGCTACGTCGGCACCGTATAGTTCGAATACCGCACCTCCGCCAACTTCGGCTGATGTTGCGTCCACAACTTCAGCGCCAACGCACAGTGGAGTGATTTTCCGAGTAACGGGTCGAATTGACGGACTCGTTGTGAAGGATGCTATACAGCGAGGATTGGGCTCATATGTTCACATCGAGTCGACCTTGACGGAAACCCCCCAGACTACCCACGCTGGATCTTGGGAAGAGGATCCCACCATTTGTGATGAGAAAAGTTTGGCTAACTCCATCACTAGTCTGAAGCGTGGTACCGCGACCAAGTTCGCGATGAACCCGCTAGCTGATATCAAATTCGTCGCCTGTGGAACGACTGAGGCGATTGAATGCGGTTTGAGACGCCTTAGTGTCGCGGTTGAGCTCATAGGAGCATCTCGAGTACTTTACGGAGGAATTGAGAAAATTGTGGTAGAGAGTGGTGTAGTTGACGGCTGCCCATCCATAGGGGTTATCGAAAGCAACTCAGAGGAACCACCTCCTGAGACGATTGAACCAGCGATGACCCCGACAGTGGCACCATTCCCTACTACTGGTCAAAACCAGATTATGAACCTTGCCTTTGTGTTGAGAGGCGCGATGGACCAGCTTGCTATAAGAGACGTTTTGATAAGAGTTTTCGGCCCGTATGTGCAGATGAAAACGACGCATATAGTCGGCCAGGCTCCAGATGGAATGACAAATGAGGGAGAACATGATAGTGTACTGACGGTGACCGATCTGAGCAACTTTGAGTGTGGCAGGGAAGACTTGTGGACTTCCCTGAAATCACTCGGGTTTCCGTCAGCCTCGTATGAGATGGCTGAGGTACGCGTTGATGCGTGCGGTCCGGACGTGATCATGCAATGCGTCGCTGAGCAGCTAGATGTTGCTAGTGGCAGCGTGAGCGGTGAAGGAGGTATCGAGAAACTTACTATGGAGATGGCACTGAGTGACGGCTGCGATACTAGCACTGTTGTCACTGAACAACCTAGTGGAGTGATCAAACATGTACAGTTCGAGATGGGAGGGTATCTGGATCAGGCTGCTGTGAAGGAAGCCTTGGCGCTGGGTTTGGGACCATCAGTGTGGATGCGAGCTGTGGCGGTTGAAGGTGCAGCTGTGCAAGTGGCCTTTGAAGAGCCTTTCTTGGTCGTGGAAGGAAGCTCTTCTGATGGTACGTCGTCGTCGCCTTGCTCGACGGACTCGCTTAGTAGAGCGATGAAGGAAATGAGAATCGGCAGTGAAAGTGAGTTCAAGAGCAAAAATAGTTGGATTGTTGTGAGGGTATATGCATGTACCGCTATGGAAGAGGTGGAATGTCTGATGAACCGCGTACGGCAAGCCAGGGACCTTGTCACTGCTTCTGGTAGCACTCTTTATGGCGGAGTTGCTACTATGACGTTGAGTGATGATGTCAATGATGGCTGTCCGAGTGACCTGTCGGAGGTCACCTATGCTCCTGTGATCGACGTCTCTACTGAGGCACCGCATACTGTTGATAGTATCAGCAGTGTGACGATGGCTATTGAAGGGGTTTGGGAAGAGCAATTTGTGAGGAATCTCCTAGAGAAGGCATTTGGCGAGGACGTGGTCCTCGGAGATATTTCTGCTATCAGCGGCAGTGGATCGACGTATTCCGCCACAGAAATTACTCTTTCTGATGACGCATTTTGTGACCGCACAGTTCTTGTAGAGCTTTTACAGCAGTTGCCCAAGGTGAATGTTGATAGTGCCGAGAGTCGTAGAGCAGAAGTCACCGTATGCGGTGAGACGAAGAAAATTAAGTGTATCAGGCAAATGCTAGTACAAGCGCGGCAGTTCACGAAGAGTCTCTCGGGAAGCTACTATGGCGGCCTTACATCGATTGAGCCGTTGAGTAGTGTGACGGACGGATGCCCTATACTCGAGGGGAATCTTACGGCGCAGCCGGAAGAACCCCAAGAAAGTGGTGAAGGCAGCGGTGATACTACGAGTGTGGTTCCGCAACAAGATGGTGGACGAGTGGTACTTATTAAAGGCTATTATTTAGATGATGAAATGACTGCAGTTTTCAAGACCGCTCTGAGTAATGTGCGTATGGGCGTCGAGATGGACAGCTCGACTATCACTGCTGGGCGCAGTAGTTTCCCGACCGAGAATGATTCTGATGGCGAACTCCCACGTCGAGTTGCAGAGGTCGATTGTGATGTAACAGCTTTGGCTGTGGCGCTCAAGAGTCTGACTCTTGTTTCGGAGGGGACGATATCCACCCAAAGGCCGTACAAGGAGACTAGAATCATAATCTGTGGTTCAGCCGCGCAGTTAGAGTGCGCAGCGAATAAGGTCGGGCAAGCTCAGACGTTGATGCGCGATCAGGGTACGCAACTTTATGGAGGGTTGACTGAGCTTGGTCTCGACGGTGACAGTTTACCTGTGTGCCCATTGGACGAGGTGGTCGACTATCAGCCGAGCGCTGCTTTGACATCGCGGAGCGTAGAGTTCGTGATTGAGGGGTATTTTCAAGTGCAAGGCATCGCCAAGAATCTCAGGGATGCGATGGGCGAGTCCGTCCAGGACGTGTTCCTGGTGGAAATTCAGCGCTCTGAAAGTCCTACGACCGAGCCTGGTGAAATGGTAACAACTGGAACTCCACCGATGGTGACTACACAAGCGGTTCCAT